GGGAACGGCACGTTGACCACGAATTTGGGAGTGGTGTGGAAGTTGCTCAGGCCCTCTTGGTGTCCACATCCCCATGCGAGCCTGATCGAGGAAGTCACTGAGCGAGTGAGATTGGCGCCGACAGAGGATGAAGATTTAGCGACCTTGAGTATAGTACATAGACTGATCCTGCCTCAGATGAAGGAGTCAAGTGAGATGACGAGCGGAACAGGGTCGGTAAAGAAGATGGAGCCGGGCAGTTGTCTTGACTCGACGTGTGGGAATGGCGAGCACACCTGTGATGGACGATCGTGCATCAGGATACAGTCTTTCCAGAAAAAAGACCTGGTCACCTGGTTTGAAGATATCACCGAAAGGGAGAAAAGTGAGATACAGATAGTGGCTGAGTGTTACGCGAGTACCACTGTGAACCTAGCAACAGCTCTGGGGTTCTTCTCGAGAATGTGTAGTCTCCAGTCACTGGAGAGGCTAGAGTCAGAACACCACTTGGTGACCGCGTTGAGCGTGGAGTCATGGCCCCGAGTGTTGCAGGTAACCCAGAAACACATCAAGAGTTGGAAGGTTGGACTCGAAGCGGAGATGGGATTTCCCATGAGCGAAGCCTATGGACTGCCTCTAAATGCGAACTCCCTAGTGGGGTCAGTGATGGCCAACCTATGTGGCAGCCACTATCCATTGCACATGGCGATGGTAGAAGTATCCAGCCAGAGGGTATTGATAGACAAAGCCTTCTCAGTGCCCAAATGTGTAAGACTGGCTCGGATGTCACATCAATCACACAAGCTGTTGACGAAGATCCGAGGAACAGTGCCTAAAGAACAAAGGGACGACTTGAGTGAAATCTGGGGTGAAGGACTTCTAGGCTTGGAGAGCGAAAATACAAGTGACCTCGAGAGACAAAACGTGATTGGGAAACCCATGGTAAGTGCCCCAAACTTGGAAGAAGTCGACGTGATACACGAGAAGATGATGGAACTTGAGCCTCTCCTAGAAGCCTCGGGAGAACGCAATCTTAGGAGCATCGACCTCACACACGGGGATTGTCCGTGCCACTGTCTGGCGCAGACAGTGTGGTACCCAGACCAAGCCAATCTCTGCCTGATCTGGGATCTAGAAGAAATCAGGTCGTTGGGACTACCCGAGCATCAACAAAAAGTGACCATCTTGGTGGTGAGCACAATGCTGGCTCTACGATGGATGGAAGAAAACTTAGCAAAGTATCGAGAATCGAAGACGCCAACAACAGAGTCGATTCACGCGATAGATTACAGCAGGAGACTTGAGTTGTTCGAGACAGCATGCAAGGTGTTCGCCATACCAATGGAAGTCAGACACGTGTGGAGCCGCTTGAGATTCTTTCCTTGGTTTCGCGCGACGTTAAAATCCTGGTTATATGTAGCGACGAAGGATCACATGAGGAAACATCAAAAGGAATATCGACAATTCCAGGCCGAGATAGGACCAGATGCCTTCAAAAGACCTCTGCTGACCCATCGAAATGCGATCACGACGGGGTGGAAAAGAGTGGGTAGAGTATCCAGAGACAATACTAGAACGAGGGAGTCAATACTGGAGGAGGACCTGGCGAAGAATGTAAGCCTGAGTCTTCACAATTCCTTCTGTTTGAACCGGGAGTCGAAGGTGAAGAGCTTACCGAATCAAGCGAAGAGATTGCAATAGCAAAGGGAGTGGATGTGATCCTATGAACAGCTGAAGGCTTGGGAGGAGATTGTGATCAGCTCCGATGACGAAGAGGCACTATTGGAACAGATCACAGTGCCAAAAATATCTGGATCTGGTACCTCGAGGGCGAAGAACACAAGGTGAGCCGGTGGCTCAAAAGGAAAAATTCTAGAGTCTTGAGATGGAGGGGGCTCGAGGGTGAACTCGGATGAAATCTGGGTTCACGAAAAAGAAATTTTAACAAATAAGATATTGTTATTAATATGCTAGATCTATTATATAAATCAAAATGCTGCATGACAATTTCCTGATTGAATAGGACAAAAGAAATTTTAAATCACCAGCTTAAAAAGCGGGAATTCCTAAGGTGCAGGTGTGTGCATATTTTGATTGCTGTTTAGCGATAATGTGAAAATTTTATGTGGTGGTAAATTTTGGAAGGTAGATAAACTTAAGTCTGCTGCAAACTTCTGTAAATGGCCACTGGCACTGTACCTTGAGTGACACTCGGGCTTCTGGGGATTCACTGACAGAGACAGCACGCAATGAGGACATCGATTTTGAGTCCGGGGAGTATGTGCCAGTCGGTCATGTCTGGAAGTTTGACCTTGAGAGACACGAAAATACGTAATTTTGGAGTGGAATTTTAATTTTCAAAATTTCGAATGGAGCCTGTCATGCTCAGTTTTCTCGTACCAACTGAAAACACAAGGTGAAAAATCAGAACATCCGAATTTACAAATGCGGGAAATTACTCAAGAAAAACAGCGGGAAATCGCTATTCGCAATTTCCAGATATAAAATAGGACACGAGTAGAGCTGTCTTATCCCGAAATAGGAGGCGAGACGATAAATAGAAGAAAGAACGACTATTCGGAACGAACTAGAGTGAACCTTCGATGGAAAGGTGGACAGCTTGAGTGTCCCAATGGTTCATACAAAAACTCAAATTCTAGAGCCAGAACTTACTTCTGTTACCAAAACTGACCAGTATCAAATTTATTTAGTTATATTACCTAGTTCTTGAGTTGCTCCCTGTACTCGAGTACATCAACATGTGAGTCCCCAATTTAAATTTCTCGAGTGTGTTTTATGATTGTTATGTTGAGATAAGGCGAGTTTTAGGTTGATCCATCTGAAATGGATCAAAGTTCCACTGTCCAATAAAAAGTAACTTAACGGATTGTTCCGACCCTGTTTTTAACGGCGTTCGCGTATTTTGGGTATTTTGAGACCTAAGTATGGGGACGTTCTTATTTTCTAGAGTGGGGGATATTTTGGTAGTAGCCTTTAAGCTGTAACGGGTTCTAGTCTCATGTCGCAAGCGAACCGAATTGGCTCCGACCGTTCTTGAGGTAGAAAAACACAAGAGATAGTGTCCCTGACTCTTGAGCCAATGGTTATAGGGCCTATTTTTCTTAAGCCTCATATGTGACCGAAGTAGGCGACTGTTACAAATATTCACAAAATATGAAATTCTTAACCTTGTAGTTGGGTGCTGTCAGGGTGCTCTCAGGTGTTGCGAATCTTGCCTCCAAATCTCACTTCTCAAATCCTTGTAGTTTTCGATATATTATGTTTTTTGTGATTTTTTCAATATTTTCAGAAAATTTTAATTAATTATTTTCTCAAAATGTGAAATTCCCAACCTTGTAGTTGGGTGCTACAAGAGTACTTTAAGGAGTTACAAATTTTGCCTCCAAATCTGACTGTTCAAATCCTTGTAATTTTCGAGATATGACGTTTTTTGTGATTTTTTTCAAAAAAATTTTCAGAAAACTTATATTAATTTTTTTCCCGCAAAATTTGAAATTCCCAGCCATGTAGTTGGGTACTGTCAGAGTTCTCTCAAAGATTGCGAATCTTGCCTCCAATAATGACTGCTCAACTCTTTGTAGTTTTCGAGATTGACGTTTTTTGTGATTTTTTTCAAAAAATTTCAGAAAACTTAAGTTATTATGATTTTTTTTAAATCTGAATTTTCCAACCCGGTAGTGAGGTCCGTCAGAGTACTCTCAAGGATTGCGAATCTTGCCTCCAAGTATGACTGCTCAATTCTTTTGTAGTTTTCCAGGTGTGACGTTTTTTGTGATTGTTTTCAAAATTTTCAGAAAGTTTAAATTAATTATTTTTCAAAATTTGAAATTCCCTACGCCATAGTTCGGTGTTGTCAAGGTACTCTAAAGAGTTGCAAATTTTACCACATACGACTGCTAAACGCGACTGCTCAAATGCTTTCAGTCTCCCAGATGTGACGTTATTTGATTTTTTCAAAATTTCTCCAAGAATTTATCTACAAAGAAATTCAAAAACTTTGAAAATACCAACTCGATGAAAATACCAACTTATTGTCAGCGTACACGCTGGCGTGTCAAATCTTGCCTCTGAAAATAATTGCTCGAATCCTTTTAGTTTCCGAGATAAGACGTTTTTTTTTCAATTTTTTTTCCGCGAAACTTAGGTTTAAAAAAAAATCGAAAAATTTCTCTTTTAATTGAAAAGGACTTAAACACTTGTCATCTTCTTTTATCATTATCACTTCCATATCTAGAAAATTCCAAGGATTTTGACTGGAATACGTGATGAAGGGACTCCTGACTGTAACCTCGGTTACTATGATACTTTCGACCTTCTGATTACCTCATAAAAAAACTTCCTAACCCTATAGTAGGGTGCTCTCAGGGACTCTCAGTGAGTGCAAATCTGGTCTCCAAATTTCTCCAGAGGCCCATTAAGTTTTCGAGATGACGCTTTTAAAATGGAAATTAAAAAAATTAAAAACTTCGAAATTATCAATCCTGTAATTGGGTGCAGTCTGAGTACACTAAAAGTTTGCAGATGTTGTTCCCAATATATGCGGTTTTTCATGAGTTGTCGAAAAATTTCGAAGCACCGGAGGTGCGTTAAACGCTAGTTACTAATTGATTTTTTACATTCCCATTAATTGCAATTTAATTTTCGCTGGTCCAATTGATTTTTGAGCTGCCCTGGACCAAGGTTCTACATTTTACTCGCAAAGCCGCGAATTGTTTAAATTGTAGTCCCAAAACTGAATGATAGATTGGGCCTTTTCGTTTAGGCACAGTCCTAAACGGAAGGGCCCTATCTATAGTTAAGTTATGAGACCATGATTTAACACTTTACTAGTATTCGGAGAGTGGAGTGTAAAACGTTGGGAAAAACTTTCGAAAACAGTGATTTTTGAAATTTTGGAAATTAATAACTTGCTAACATAAACGAGGGCGTTTTTTGTATTTGTTGCAAAGCGGCACTTGGTATTCAGTCATCATCAGTAGGGCTTTCAATCTTTCAGATATTATGCAAAGTTCAAAATTACTTCTTGTTTACAAACCGTTTTCGACGGGTTGCATTGTCATACATAAACGTACCTTACTGAGTTTTATCCCACGTGCCAATAGGAAAAACAGTAATAAACAAATAGAAAAATTATTAGATCTTGCTCTCTGCGAATATCGTTTTACTCCTTCTTTCAAACATGATTTCAAAAAACATTTCTTGGAGGGTTTTAGAAGTAAAGAGGGGAGCATGAAATCGAGTTCATCTACAATGTCAGCCTTAAATTTGCTATGCTCTGTAAGTAATTTTCTAATTATCAAATTGATTGATTTCTTACACTAATTTTTAACAGCCATGCTTAAAGTTCCAGATATGAATTATTTCCACATTTTGATCAATTATAAAATATAAAATATATTTTTTTTTCACAGAATCTTTAAAATAAAAGCGATTCTGAAGAGCAGACGTATATTTTGTTATCTCTAAGAACTGATTTGGTATTTTTTGTGTTGCAGGTAATGTTCGGCGGAGCAGTTATAACTTTAGCATATGCACTCAGATCTAGTGTAGAGATCAAATATGAAAACATTGGACTGGGAACGCAGAGCAAATTGATACATCGCAAAGAAATTCCCAACGTCAAATTCTCTGACGTGAAAGGCTGTGATGAAGTAAAAATTGAACTGGAAGAGTATGTTTCATATTTAAAAGTAAGTTATGCATTTGTTGCATTTTTGTGATAATTGGAAATTTCTTGAAACAACTAATTTAATAATTGAGAACAGGAAAGCCAAAATTTGCAACTTTTAAGCATTCGGGACATCTCTGGAAAAAAATCTAATGTACATTTTGGAGATTTTGTACTCCCGGCGAAGCTAATGGTGTTTTTCTGAAGCAGTTAGCTCACTGCGAAGGGTTACTTGTGAGATTTCTGGCATATTGTGTAGCGGAGAATTTATCTATCGTCAATGGTAGTATAGTTTTTAACAAATTTCTCAGAAAAAGTCTTCAATTTTCAAAATAATTCTGGCCTTTCAAAATAATTCTGAAATTAAGAAATCCACGGAGTCGAAAGTAGAAGAAAATTCACGGAAAAGAGGGCATGCTGAAGATTTGCGAGAGGAACTGCATGTTTTCAAGCAAATGACTCCTTTAGCTCTCAAGAACCAGCTGAATGAAGTTGATTCTAGCATTGACGAGGCTAAAAAAGCTCTTGAAAAGAAGAAGGAACCATCGAACTGTTTCTGTGGTCACATTGGATCAACAGTCTGCAGTTGTCATTGACTCAATATTTGACAAGAAATAAATGGTTTAATTGACCATGTTTTTCTGAAAGTTAGAAAATGCTCTTTTAGGTTCATATAAAGTTCGTTTTTCAAGGTTTGGTCCCAGGTTCATATTTCGTTTTATAAAAGTTGGCAGGACTGGTTTAAGCTAAAAGTAATTAAAAACAAGGATAGCCGGTTACTGTGCAAGTAGCACAGAATGTTCCGACCTTAGTCTTTAGAAAACTACTTGCTTAAAATTTAGTTTAAGGGTCTTAAATTAGGCATGATTCAGCTGTTGTAGGCATATTTAGGTATAACTCAGCCGCTCGCCTGCTTTATTCGCTTGAATTTAGACGAAAAGTCAAAAATTTCAAACCTATTTTTCTCGACACGACCTAAAGGGCTTTAATATGGTATATCACTCAACCCAGTCAGATGATTATTTGTGGTAGCTGATTTTGCGTGGAAAACTAAAACACACCCGAATACAAATTTCTTCGCAAATTTCAATGGAACAATAATTCTTTGAAGTTTGCGTTTGCCTTGTTTAAGCATTTTATGTATAATTTTTCTTTAAAAAATTGCGTGGCAGATTGGTGTTTTGAAATATTGGGATGGATATTACTTGCCCTTCCGAGAGCAAGTGTCTTGTAATCGGGAGTTAGACGTTTTCCCCCCTCTAACTACTTTTCCCACAAATCATACTCTTTTCTTACTTGCTTTTTTATTGAAGCTTGAGAAATTTCAGATCCATTCGCGCCCTATAGGTTTGTTTTTGCCTTTGCCCCCTTATAAAAATTGAATTGTCAGACTTTATGACAATTTCTTATGATTTTTTTTTTGTTTTTGGCTCAAGGGGCATCTATCTACGCCTTGTCGGCTAAGTGGCCGCTCGGTAAAAACTAAAAACCTATTTAATGCTCTATGGTGGGTTTCTTGACTCGATTTTTCTATTCCCATCTCATTTTTTATTTGCGCTTGCTTTGCATTGCAAGTGCTGCGAATCTCCGCTTCATCTTTGTAAAAGAATTGACAAATTGACGTCTCTGAAGAAATTTCGCATTGGTCTTGACAGTTCAAATGCATTTCTAAAAGTTCAGCTGAAATTTCAATACCATTTGAGCTGGTTTTACTATGCAAGATACAAAGGGCAACTGTTCAGAGAAATCAATTATGAAATGTTAAATTTATTTTTCGAAATATATAGTCAAAAGCAAGCAAAACGTGGAAAAGAGCCGTGTAACTTTTAGTACTACACAAATTGGTGATATTTTAGCATATGTGATTCATTTCAGGATAGCGTGCGAAAGAAATGGTAATTGAGATTTTTTTTGAAGTTTTTTTGTTTCATTTTACTTTTTGTCAAAAGAAAAAACTGAATGGAGCTGTGCATTTAACTCTCTGAATTTACAAGTTTGTCTGAAATTATGAATTTATCTGTTTACAAAGTTTTGAAACGTTATCCCATTTTTCCTCTTTTTTACACTAGCGATCAGCTTAGAGTATTGTTACGAACCTTCTTTTTTTCGAACCTAACTCGCAAAGGAAAGTGTTCACTTATTTGGAAATTTCACGATAGCATTGGAAATTGCATAGCATCTGTTCTCTGCTTTGTTCATGGCTAATTTTCGGTACCTATTAAGCCTCCGTGACTGAGTGGTTAGGGTATGAGACCAAATCTCTACGTCGCACATTCGAATCTCAGACGTAGCCATTTTTTTTTCCACCAATTCGAGGCCTTTTTCTTATTGCACTTTATAGAGCTGCTTTTTGTCGTGTTCTCGCTAGTGTTTGCGAAGCGAAGATTCGCCTCTGTGTCATAAATGATTCCATCGCCTCTGTTTTGTGTTTGTGTGAATAGATTTCAAAGTGAATAGAATTTTTGTTGTTAGTCTGAAAAAGTGTTGCGGCTTTTCAAATAGTCTTTTGTCATTTTTTTTTCGCCTTCATTCTAAAAACCAAATTGCAAGTAATATTTTCTATTGCAAAAATTCCTCCCTTAGTCGGCTTTTCTCACTAAAATTATATATCTCTAGACTCGAAAGCACGCAAAACGTTTCAGACCAATTGTGCTAAACGTTTCGGTTTTATCGACTTGGACAAAATACACCTCGCGGGTATACTATTAGACCAATCCAGGTTCGAATCTTTTAAGAGGCCTTTTTGTTAGCAGGTAAATTGTTTAGTTCAAATGCAGTTAGTTACCGAAGGAAAAAAGTTTTCAAATTGTGACAGTTAGGTGTATTGGCTTTTCTTTTACTGGTTCACTTATGAAACCAGTTTGGAAAACAGCTGGCAATGGTTAACCTTGCATTGATATTAGTAAGGTGTCTTCTTTCAAATTTCAGGACCCGGCCAGAATTGCTCGTCTTGGCGGAAGGATGCCCAAGGGACTGCTGATGGTGGGAGCACCGGGTGTTGGAAAGACCCTGTTGGCCAAGGCACTGGCGGGAGAGTCCAGTGTCCCTTTCTACTATGCAAACGCCTCCGAGTTTGATGGCCAGGCTATTGGGTATGTGAATAAAAATATATATTTAAGTGCCATAATTTTCTTTATAAGATAGCTCATGTCATTATGCTTAATACAAGATGCAATGCTACTGGCCTGATGATGCTGATTGGTTCGATATGAAAAAGATTTGAAGTTGACCACAGAAGAAAGTTTCAATCGTACATGTTTTTTAGGTCAGGAGCGAAAGCTATTCGCAGTTTGTATGACGAAGCTAGAAAGAACACTCCATGTGTCGTGTTCTTGGACGAATTGGATTCGATTGGGCCTATGCGGTTGATTGATTCGATGTCTGGAGGAGCTTACACGTCACGTGACACTGTCGATCAGCTGCTGGCTGCCCTGGATGGCTTCAACTCAAACGACGGAGTGTTAACCATCGGAGCAACTAACTTCCCCCAGAGACTGGACTCGGCACTCACTCGGCCCGGAAGATTCGACTCAAAGGTCACAGTCGGATTCCCCGACAAAAAAGGTTCACATTTTGCCGTTTTTCTTCAAAAATGTTCTGAATTTTTTTATAGTGTTGCCGTTTTTCTTCACAAAGATTCGAAGAGAGATCTATCGATTTATTTCGAGATATTTTAACAGAAAATATGTTTGCTAATAAACCCGTGCGATTAGAAAACATGATGTACCCGTTGACCTTGGGTTTAATTGGATAGAACAGTCTCACCTGAATGTTTCCAATTTAGTTTCCCTCAGACTAGCAAATGCTAATTTAGATGAAAAACTTATTCTCGCTGTACAGGTCGATCTGAAATCCTGAAGTTCTACTTGTCCAAGGTGAAGATGGGCGAGAGCATTGACCTGAAGTTTCTGGCTCGCAAGACTATCGGGTTCAACGGTGCAGATATTGCCAACATGGTGAACCAGGCAGCACTTGCAGCCGCCAGACAGGTACATTATGAAATGAAAGTCAGGAATAAAGACCAAGTAGAGCTTAGTTATTGTTCCGACCACTGAAAGTGGGGAGGAACTTTGTGTTCGGGTGTGTTTTAGTTTTTTCGTCTTCCTCGCAAAATTAGGCACTGCAAATAGCCATCGGATTTTTTTCAATCGTGATTCTAACAACATACAGAAAATGGAAAAATGTTTTCCCAGTATCGAGAAAAATCGGTGTGAAGTTTTTGGTTTTTGTCTTAATTAGAGCAAATAAAGCGAGTGAGCAGGCTTACAAAAGCTTATTTTAATAGCTTAAGTTAGGCCGTGAAAACGTAATTTTTGATTTTTTTTGTTTTTCAGCTTATTTTTCTACAAAAATTGTTGTCCAATTTGCTTAATTTACTCTGACTGCCGAATATGTCTAACCTCCTGTTTTAAGTTCATATCTTTTTATCACACCACGCAGAAAAAAAAACGACATTAAATTGAACAACTTCTTGGTTTTTTTAATACTATGGTGGGAACTTTCTGTGCTACTTGCGCAGCAACCGGCTTTCCTTGTTTTTTGTCGTCTGTTTCGCAGCAGGGTTTGTTTTTTTTTTAATTTTTGGGTTTTTGTTGGAACGGTAGAAACGACATGCTAAAATTTTACGGTACTGGTAATCACGGTCAGACCTTGTATTTTTTCAGTATGTATGCAATTCATTTTTTTCCGGTAAAAATTGGTTGTCTGATTTTCGTTTATCTGCTCAAGTTTTGTCGTCTTAGTTGCCACATCACGAATTTTTCTTGTGCTGCTAGCAAATATTATAGCAGTTGCAAGTGTTGTTGGTTGTACTTTAGGGGAGACTTACAAGTTTTTTTATAAAATCAATTTTCAGTGCAACTGGTGTCAAAGATTGTCAGCTTTGTTTCCGCTTCGTGAGTTTTTTTTCGTTGTTAATTTATAATTCAATTGTTTTACTTGGATGGTTTGCCTCTAGATTTGCTGTTTTTTTATGGAAATTTAAGGGATTGGGTTTTTTTTATTTTTTTTTGAGACGCTTTGGAAAATTTTATCGAAAACTAGTTGAAGGGATCAATCGAAAGAACCGGTTGCGAGAATTTTACTTGCAGAAGCGGCGACTTTTTAATTTTTTTGTAAGAAAACTTATGTCCATGGGAAAACAATTAAGGTTTTGGGCAAAGTCGAAGTTTTGAAATAACCCATTTCACCCTGCATCAGTATGAGAAATTCAAAATAATCAAACGTATTTCTAGCTTTAATTGGGCTTCTAGTTTTCTTTTAAAGAGGCGTTCAAAACTTTTGGTTCTTTTAGTTCTTTCAAACATTTTTTTCTATTTATGTTTTTAAATGTTTGTGTTGTATTGCAAGTGGTGCGAAGCTCCGCATCGCCTCTGTGTGTATCAGAATTCCTAGCGTGTCCGGCACACTTGGTCTGGAGGTAACGAATACGCCTGGGACGGCTAAGGCCCTGGGTTCGAATCTGAACGGGACGAATATGCCTGGGAAGGCTAAGATTATGGGTTCGAATTTGACCAGAGCCTTTTTTTTAACGGCTTTCAATTATTTCGTTTCTAAAAAAACTCGGCTTACTTTTTGTATGCTTTTTTTTCAGCTTAATTGTCCAATCTTGGTCTTGTTAATTTATGTATGCAATTTTCATTGCAGTTGCTCTTACTCCTTCAATTGTAATTTTACTAGCCTTAAATTTGTATTTTTTTCTTTGTTTTTGTTTTCGGTTAAAATCCTTATTCGTAACTTTATGATTTTTGTTTATTTTTTGTCAACTTTCTTTCGTTTTAAGCGAAACATAATTTTTATGCTTCCCAGTGGGTCGAACCAAATGCCCAAAACCGTTGAATAAAGTTTATAGTTCAAAATTTTTCATGAAAAAAAATTTGTTTTCGGTTCTACGGGAGTTTACCCAAGTTTTGTCTCTCAGACGTCGCTCGATGATCATTTTTGAATTTGCTTGAAATGCCGTCATTTTTGTTTAATTTTCAGATAGTAACTTGATTCATTCACCGTATAAGTGCAGACGCAGACGATTGTTGGATCAACAGAAGTAGGTTTTACGTAATTTAAATGTATGGCTGTGTTCTTTTTCTCAGGGAAAGAAATCGGTCTTTCTGGCCGACTTGGAGGAGGCTATGGACAGGGCGAGGAGGGGAAAGGAGCAGAAGACGAAGAAGTACACGACATTCAACCTGAAAACCATCTCCATCAATCAAGTAAGTCTCAGCATTGTCTCAATTGGTGCAAAAAAATGCAAAGCCCTTATAATATAATTTTTAAGCCCTTTTACAAAGTTTCAGCTTAGTGTTTCAGTGGTGTCAGTTAAAGCATCGAAAAACTTAGTGCAAAAGAGATTCTTCAATTACGTTTGAGAAAAAGTGTTGAAAAATACCGACCGATGTATATTGATTTACTTAATTGCTTGATTTGCTCATAAGTAGTGACACGCGGGAATCATCTGTTAAATTTGGTTTTTACAGGGACCTCTATCACTCTTGTACCAATGATTTGATATTCTAGGCTGGCTTTGCATTGGTGGGATTGTTATTGGGCAGAGACGTGCAGCGGTGTACGGTGCTTCCGGTGGGAAGTGTCCAAGGTCAAACTTCACTGGTGCCCCTGGAGCACGAGCACAGTGTATCTATGGCCGAACTGAAGGACATAATCATGTTCAAGCTGGCGGGTCGTGCCGCGGAACAGTTGATGGACGGAGGCGTGAACGATATGACAACTTATTCAATTAATAACTTAAAGGAAGCACACAAGAGAGCAAAGGAGTTAATTGTTAACTACGGACTGAGTGAAAAGGTTCGTCTAATCTGCTTGGTTTTACTAAAAAATTAACGGCCAAAAACGCAATTTACAGGGCAAAAACTTCCAAAAATTGCAGAAGCGGCATTTTTTGGCCTTTTTTTATTTTGCGACAACAAATATAATTGTAATCGGGAACTAAACTTCCTTCCCGTAAACAACTTTTCACACAAATCTGTAAGAAATTGACCTTGCTTTACTCCCAGGCTTTTCTCACCTTCGGTTCATAAAGTCTAAAGTTTGAGTCCCAGCCGGACCTTGTTTTTGTAAATATTATATGAAGAAATCAAAATTTGTCGGGTATCATTTGTCTGCTTATTTTAAGTGCACTTATTTACCGAAGCATCGAATACATTTTCTTCTCATGTCTTTCCGTCTGATTCTCAAATTAGGTTAATTTAATCGAAAAAGTGGCAATCATAAATTGTTCTTGACATTTGAAGCGCTTGAAGGAACTTCAAAGCAAATCAAGAAATTGCCAGGAAACCAATCACAAGTCAAACCGCCAAAAAATAAATTTGAACTTGAACAAATTGTAAGACTTTTCCTGCCCAAAAAAAACGAAAAAATTATCACTTATATAAGAGTGTGAAGTCTCGAATTTCTAATATATATGTCTGTTTCCTTAAGTTCATTGGCTCTGTTCCAACTGTCTGTTGGCTATATTTTCGTTTTTAATTTTTAGTTTAGGCTTGAACGATTTCGGTATATTCTTTTGCGTTTTTTGTGTCAGGAGTAAGTGGGCGTAAAAAGTTGTAATTACAAAACATTATAGCTCAATGTTTCTATGAAGCTTGTTTTGGCTAAAATCGCGTCTACTCAAGTATTGTGAGATTAGTTGCCCACCGGCATCATCCAGGGCAAACGTATGATTGTTAGATCGATTTTTTATCTCTCAATTATTGTTCCGACTATTTGAAAAATGTGGGTGAACTTTGAATTCGGGTGCCTGCTAGTTTTTTTCTTTCCTCACAAAATCAGCATTCAGATGCAACTGCATTTTATGATTTGTAAACGGGTTCCGCAACAGGCCAAAATCAGATTTGTTGCGGAAACCGCAACATTGCTTCTTTTCTTTGATCTTCTTTGCTGTTTTGGATGCAACAAACAAAAAGGTAAAACACTGTGCCGCTCCAAATCGCTCCAAGAATAGGCCAATTTGCTCAATCCGCAATAGTATTTGCGGAATCCAGAACAGTTTGTGGAATCCACAAACAAATGATAAAATATGGGTATAGTAAAATTGAGCTGTTGCTGAATCCGCAACTGTAAGCGGAATCCGCAAATTGTAAGAGGAATCCGCATTTTGTTTGCGGATTCCCTTTACATATATTTATATGTGTAGTAGCCTTTAAAATTATATCTTTTAAATACAAGATTTGATGTCACTAGAATAGATCAGTGCAGAGCATTTTTTCCTCATCTTGAACATTTTTCGAGACAAACATTTGAAACTTTTTTGTCATTTATTTTCAAATTATTTTTTCAGCTTATTGGCTTTGGTCTCATTTTATATCTTGCAATGCTATGTTTGAGTCGTATCGCCTCTGAGTATAAATTGCCTCTGAGTATAAATTGGCATACGCGCTAATTTGGCCATTTCGAACATGTTTGATCTCCATAATTAACCTTGTAAAACCATTCGCTACACCAAAGATTCTTGAGGTGGGAGAAAAGGGAAAAGCCAAATTGAATTTGGTGTATTGCAGTCTGAACCAGAAGTTGTTTAGATCGGAATTATCAGCGGGGTTAAAAGAGTGAGTCACGAGACTATGGATTTGATTGACGAGGAGACAGAGCGAGTAGTGACTGAGATCTACAGCGAATGTCTCGCTGTTCTACGACAGCACAAAGCGGAACTGGAGAAACTGCAGTTACACCTGGCCAAGAAGGAGTCCTTGAGTGGAAAGGAAATCGAAGAATTGCTGGGACTGAAACTTAAAAAATCTGCTAAATTTCAACCAGTGGTTCCGGCAACCATTCCCTAAGTTATGTAATAATAAATAAATTTTAGTTTAAAAATAAGGTTATTTTGATCTAAAGGCTTGAGAATTTAAAATTCAACGAGAGTTGTTTTGATAGCAGAATATTATGACCAGTTTGGAATGAGAATGTTGGTTTATCAAAAGCCGGGATTCTATCTTTGTTAAGGATTCATTGTTCTAAATTTCCTTCGCGAACTGAAAGACATACTACTCGTGTTTTTTGTGATAGTTGAAATATTTTGGAAAAAAGCTAGCAACATTGTGCGTCCAAAGTTGCTTCCTAATTGAATCGGTAAAACCTGCTTGATCTTGTTGTTACTATAGAATATTCATTTACACTTAATTTTAGATACTTTTTTTTGCGGTATGATATATTTACTTTTTGATCCAATTTTTTCAATTGGTTATTTTTATCAAAAAATTGTCAATCATAAATTTTTCATGAAATTCAAAGATCTTTAGGGCCTAGTATTTTTCAAGAACAAGTCAGATTTTTTTCCTATTTCCTTGCGTTCATAACTCTTTTTCAACTGTCAGTTGGCTATTATTGTTCCGGCTTTCGATAAGAAAGTAACCGAATATTTGTGCTCGAGGTGGGTTTTTTTTTCTTCAGACAAACTTCGATTTTTTAACTAGCCATTTTTGACGGAATTTTTTTATATCATTCAAAAGGTATTGTTGTCCTGAGCTCAAATTTGAAAAGATATTTCACCTGTGATCATTTTTCGTAAAGTTGTGGGTGTTTAAAGATTGCCATTTTGGCCAATTTGGGACAATTAACGCGCGATATGTTTCGCGCTATTAACGCTTAAGCGGAGAGTTAATCCGTCTTAAAGTCGTTCCAAATTGGTTGAAAGAAGCTTATTTGCCATAATTGATTTGTTACAAGGAGCTAAATCTATCTTTTTGTACTTCAAATGGCGTGTGGGGGGATGATTTTCATAAAAAATTTCAAATTAAAAAATTTTTTTATTTTTCATTTTATTACATTTAATTTTTTGTTATTACTGCTCCATAAAACCTTAAAATGTTATTACTGCTCCATAAAAGCTTAAAAGGCAGTGGGAACATTCAGGGCTTCGCCCTGATACGAGCAGTCTTGTTATTTATATTATTATTATTGAGAGTAATGAACGTAGTGAGTACTATTATATAGGTCTTATCGATTTTTGTTTGTTTTTTTTAAGGAAATTTGTTCATGCTCAATTTAGATTTTTCGCGGTTTGACTTGTGATTTCTTTTTAAGTTCAGTTCATTTCCGTTCTTACAAGGAACGCAAACTCCACTATCGAACAGCAAAAGTGTGAAGGTGTCGAAAAACGTGATCTACTTAAATTCCGAAAATGGAATTTAGTAATCAGATTTCCAGCAAAATAAAAGGTTTAGATATTGATCGAGTTTTCTTAAATTGAGTTAATTAAACAAAGTGTATACCATAAATTGTTCCACAAATTCAAAGAGATTTAAGGCTATCTATTTTTTTCTTCGATAAAAATTTTTTTTTCAGGTTTTCGATAAAAAAAAACAAGTTAGTGTTTTTTCAGTTTCTTCGCTCTTTTTTACTCCTTTCCAACTGTCAAAAATTAATTGCATTTGAGAAAAACTGGTCTCGTGCTTTATTTTTTTGTCGGGAAAATTGGAATCAACCTCAAGCATTCTTGAAGGGCGCAATTTATTCAAAGCAGCGAATTTTGTTTTTTCATTTGCAAGCGATATCATTCCGGAACATTTCCTGTCCGAAACTTGTATAACAAAATAACTGAATCTTTTAATAGCCTGATTTATCCTTGATTCAAGTTAAGCGTCTGATTGTGCTTAGCTGGTGTAAAGACAGGGGCGGATTTACGGGGGAGATATTTGAGATATCCATTTTAGGTAACGGACCCTAAAATTTTTTTAAAGGCGCCTTTGGCGACAATATATACAAATTATGAGGGGGAAGCGCGCGCCCTAAAAATGCAAAATTTTCAACAAAAAAAAAACGCATACAAACGCCTTTGTTGGCACATTTCGAAAAATCAATTTGGTCGACCTGAAAAAAAGGTCGACAAAATTTTCGAAAGTTTTTGAAAATCACCCCCCTTGCGAAGATCCTAGATCCGCCCCAGCGTAGAGGTAAGGCCTAAGCATAGACCACTACTGTCTTGTGTTCGAGTCCGGCTAGGGCAAGTACTTAATGTCTACAAAATAATTGCTAATTGAGGGTTTGTCAGCTTATTTTTTGACAGTTTAGTTACCGCTGAAAGATTTTTTTTTACAAGCAATTTTAACTAAATCTGAAAACGAATTTGGTTAACTACTGTAATGAACAAACACAAGCGTGTGCTTACTTGCTTTGGGCAAGTACTTAATGTCTACAAAATAATTGCTAATTGAGGGTTTGTCAGCTTATTTTTTGACAGTTTAGTTACCGCTGAAAGATTTTTTTTTACAAGCAATTTTAACTAAATCTGAAAACGAATTTGGTTAACTACTGTAATGAACAAACACAAGCGTGTGCTTACTTGCTTTGGGCAAGTACTTAATGTCTACAAAATAATTGCTAATTGAGGGTTTGTCAGCTTATTTTTTGACAGTTTAGTTACCGCTGAAAGAATTTTTCTACAAGCATTTTTAACTATCTGAAAATGAATTTGGTTAACTACTATAATGAACAAACACAAGCGTGTGCTTACTTGCTTTGGGCAAGTACTTAATGTCTACAAAATAATTGCTAGATGAGCGTTTGTCAGCTTATTTTTTGACAGTTCAGTTACCGCTGCAAGAAGTTTTTTTACAAGCAATTTTAACTATATCTGAAAATGAATTTGGTTAACTACTGTAATGAACAAACACAAGCGTGTGCTTACTTGCTTTGAGCAAGTACTTAATGTCTACAAAATAATTGCTAGATGAGCGTTTGTCAGCTTATTTTTTGACATTTTAGTTACCGCTGAAAGATTTTTTTTTACAAGCAATTTTAACTATATCTGAAAATGAATTTGGTTAACTACTGTAATGAACAAACACAAGCGTGTGCTTACTTGCTTTTGATTTTTCACTTTTTATTGCATATGTTGAAGGCATTTAGAGCTAGAATCCGAAACAAATGATTCCCACACAAAATTCTGAAAAATTATTTTTGTTTATAAAATCCAACGACCAACGCGTTTGGGGGCGTTGAAGCAAATTATTGAAAACTGAATTTCCCAGTAAGTAATTGTTGTTTTTGTCTCTGGATTCCGCTTTTTGTCAATCGATTCCTCGATTTGTGTCTGGATGTCACATTTTGTTGGAGGAGACGTTTGTTTTTTACTGTATTCCTTAATTTTATCTCTTAACAGGTCCTCGCTAGCTAAAATTTGCATATTGTTTAATAGTTTTTCGATTGCTATTCATCGATTTTAGGGTAAACTTCTGCAAACTTGGTGGAAATCAGCGACAATGTCTTTACAACCATAACCACCAACGAGTTTAGGGAGGGGCGGCGGACGCCCCTTCAGGTATTTGACGCACCGCCGACCCAAAGGGTTCCCCTTTATACTATTTTGAGAAATAAATTTTTGGCTGACTGACCCTAATTTGGAGAGGGGAGTGCGCGCCGAAAAAACCTATTTCCGCCATGCACTCCCCTCGCCCTTTTTGGCTTTTTTCAAATATTCGTCTGTGGCGCAAAAAACTGGGTCAAAATAGGATCTTTATAGTGATTTGGTTGAGCTCAGAAAATCAAATTGGTCGAACCTAAAAAAAGAAAGGTCGACGAAGTTTTCTAAATTTTTTTTGAAAATCCGCCCCCCTCGAGAAAATCTCAGATCCGCCCCTGACCATTATCAAAGTATCCATGGTTGGCGTCGTAAAAATTATCAAAAATAACGAAAACTTCAGAAGACAACTTTTTAGTGTCGAGAAAATCTGGTTTTAAAGTTTTGCATTTTAGACTAATTTTTGAGTCGTACTTCATTTTACTTATTTGAAACTGGTAAAAACTGTTATATTTTCATACCATAATGAAGCTCTTGGTTGTTTTTGCTGAACCAGATTCCAGTTCTTCCAGCCATACGTACTAAAAAACGGACTAAAAACGTGGGAAAATCATTTGCGCAGTGGTGAAGTGGCTAAGTCTCTCCCTCTCAATTGAAAAGTCGGTGGGAGTTTGCCTCCCATAATCCGTGCTCGTTGCACAAGGGTGGAGAGGCAATATAACCCAGCCCAGAAAACTAACCAAAAATTTGTATGTAAATCTCAACCAAGAACAAAAAGCTTGTTTTTTAAGAGCTGAACACCTCATTTTCTGGTCCTTTCCCTCGACTCGGCTTAAGTTACCGTTGTTGCAAATAACTGTAACCGAAGCCTCCTGTGCTACTTGAACAGCAAACGGCATTTCTTAGAACTCTTAGCCATTGGAACACAACCCAATCAAGTTCAGAGACAAAAGGAAATCTACAAAAAATTTTAGCTGATAACTTTGAGCTTGAATATGGAGATATTATAACAATTCATAATGAATTTCATTAAATTGAAGCTACTTAGGTTTTTTTCGTTTAGCCTTCATTGGATAGTGACCACTGCATGAAATGTTCGCGGTATCGAAATGGGCCTTTGTAGTAACTCATATCTTGAAAAAGATAACCAACATTTCCTATTTGTGTGCAGACTGTGCGAAAGTTGTTTTTCGTCTTCGAGAACGGCATCATTACAATAACTTGATACCTGATGCAAATTTTGGACGCTAGAAACCATGCTGGAATGTTCGATATCTTGCTGTTGTTTTGATCGGTTATGCCGTTGTTTTCAAATTCAGGTACTTTAACTTCCCATGCCATACTTACGGTACACCCTTTTTCTCCATATTTATCGTAGTAGTAAGGTGTGAACTCGTTAAGTTCCGCACAAACAACCGGAGTATTGAGTACTTTGTGGCAATAAACACGATGCGTAAAACATAATTTTACCTTTTTGAACCACGAAGGTAATTTCTCGTCGGGTGCTTTTTTATTCATGTAGTTTTCAGGTAATTTGAAGACTCTAGAGGCTGTGTATTTGGGGGTCATTGAAATTGCGGTATCTGAATTCCACTTTGATGTGTTGTCAGAGACGAAAAGACC